ATGCAAGCATAAAATAAACAAGTCGGATTTTCTGTCGAAAAGTTTTAAACTAGTATAATGGATACTGCCAAAATTTTATAAGTTCATTATATCATAATCATTATATCATAATCAGGAAAGATCAATTTTTTTAAGATATAATTTTTTTAAAAAAATCGGTAATTGCATATTAATTATATAGGAAATATTATGAAAAGCATGGATCTAGTAAGATAGATTCTGATTAGAATTAGATTTGTTACTAGTTTATTAAAATTAAACAATCAAACGATTAGAAAGACTAAAAATATTACTGAGCAGAGCTAATTAAAACTCGATTTAAACGTTTAATTATTTTATATAACAGAGATTGCGAAAAATTAAACATTGTATTTATTATTTTGTAAATTTAGTTCTCTAATCGTGTCAAATAACTAAAATATAACAAGAAATATTTTCACACGCTAAAATTGTTTAGATTAAATTCGTAGGCTTGTTTCACATTTTTCAAAGATAAACTAACCGAAAAAATTGCTATGAAAAACATATTTAGTATACGTTATTTTAGTAATTACTAATTTAATAATTTAGTACTTAGTATGTGAGGAAAAGCAAGTTTTAATTACAAAAAGTTGGCAGTATTTTTGTTTTGTAAATACATATTAAAATGTATGTAACAAGAATACTTAACAAAAATTTTTGAATGGAAGTATTAAAGTAGGTTAAAATAAATATTGAAGTTCTGCTTTTAAAATAAATATGATTTTAAAAAACATGCAAACAGAATCAAAATTTTAATTGGTATGAGAAACAAACTTATATAATTTTTTGTAATTTCGATTACATGATATATTAGAAAAGCAAATTTTAACTTAATTGGGTCGTCAGGATTTATTTTTTATTTTACCAATATTAAAATGGAAGTAATAAAGTCGATTTTGAAATTCTGCTCTTAAAATAAATAATGTATTAATAAATTAAAAAAAAAACAATAGGAATAAAAAACATAGTTCTTATTTGAGGATATATGAGGTTCGATATATGAGGAAGGGTAAATTTTAATTAAATAGAAATGCTAAAATTTAAAAAAAAAATATTAAAACTGAAGATATTAAGTAGATTTTGAAATTCTAATATGATAAGAAATTTTAAAAAATCAATAGGGGTGAAAAACATTGCACTTATACAATGTCTTAGTTATTCAAGTTACTTGGTATAAGAGGAAGAGTAAATTTCAATTATATAAAAACGACAGAATTTTTTAATAGTTTGTGAATTAAAACTGAAGAAATAGAGTAGATTTTCAAATATAATAAAAAAATATTTTTTCTAAAATAAACCGAGAAAAAATTCAATTGCAATGAAAAACATACTCCTTATACAATTTTTCTAATTCAAATTATTTGAGTCGCCAGAACTTTTTTTCGTGAATATTAAAATTGAAGAATGTATATTATGTAAAACCATTTTGCAAAATATTTAGCACGCCTACAAGAATTATTTACTTTACTGCAATAATCTTAATTTTAGTTCCAGTATTTATTCTTCGGTACAAAATGTAGTTTGATCTATGAATTATTGTGACTATTAAAATTATACGACTTGGTCCTTAATATGATTTGTTTGGTATTTCTTTGGTAGAGTTACAAAATCTATTATTGTACTGCATTGATATATTGCTGAAAGATTGTCATATTGAAAAAGTAATCCGAGAAAAATACACAATTAAAATATAAATACACTATCGATCGATTTACTATTAACTGATGCCCAAATCGTAATGTATCTGAAAAATATTATTGACACAAATTAATATTTTCATTACATAGGATACATTACGATCTTGCAATTTTTTTAATATTTTTCCAGATATACAATTTATCCTACAACTACATCCCAATCCTCTCCAACTTATCATACATTAATAAAAATTTCATCTAAAAATGTAACAACGGACTTAACCACAATTTATTATTAACAAAGAGTGCAACTTATAGATAATTATTAACTAATAATTTTTTATTAGTTATAAATTTAATATATGGGTGCGTGTGTAATTTTTTTTATTATATACCGTATACGCAATATTGGCTCAAGTTTATATATCGTACTAAAACGTATACGACATATAACCACATCAAAGACAGCCCTCATTTCAAAGCAGAATTTGCTTGCCTTCTATTGAAATTTATTCAGAGATAAAGGAAGAATATATTAATAATATTATACGAAGCCAATAAAGGCTTTGATTGTGGATTAAAATTGGCATTAGTATCCTTGTGATGGATTAATTACATGTTGTATTAATTTAGATATTGCTACTATTTTTTTTTCTATTTGATTTAGGTCTGAAAAGTATAAATTGATACTGATTTGAAAATTTATAGAGTCGCTCTATAGTTAGTTAGAATTTAGTTTAATTAACAAAGAATACAGATTTTGAAGCAAATAAACTATAGGAAACCAATTTGAACCTGTTTCTTTCATTTTCTAATATTTAAAGTCTACATATTTTTTCAATAAGTCTTTTTTCAATGAGTAAGATATTTGAGGTTTGTAAAAGATTTAACGTTGATATTTAAAATCCAATGAAAAACACAAAATATTTAATCAAAAATGAATATTTTGTCATTTTAGCTCGTAGGAATCTTTATGTATTTCTGATTGCTAAATAAAACTGAGTTTACCAAAAAAAAAATTAATATTTGTATTTTGCATACAGAAGTTTTTGAACATGCATAAAAAATGACAGTTAGAAGTGTTAAAAATACTTAATAAATTACTGAAAGTAATTTATTCGTGATATCAAAAAAAAGTTTATTATAGAAGCAATAAATTGAGTCAATCCAGGATTTTTTATAAATTAGAATCTTGTTTTGTGTAATTAATTTAATTTTAAAAATACATTATAAGTAAAAGCAACAATTAATATGCAATTATCAAGTTTCCACTAAAAATGTAAAATTATTCACAATTTTTTCCTATTTTTGAACTAAATTTGCACAAAAAAGAATATCGATATTCTTATTAAATTGATTCACATTCCATTTGTATATTTGACCAAACGTATTTTTTGTAGCAAAATGCTAAATATTGACTAATAATATTGATTAAAACACTTTTGAGGTACAAAAATTTAAAGCTTCTAAACATAGTAAAAAAAAATTGTAAAACTAACGATTACGCATATGTAATAGGAGTTATTTCTCAATTTCACTTCTAGGACTTTTAGGACTTTTAAATTTACTAAATTTGGTTTCATAATATCTATATGTTTATGGAAATTCTCAATTATTTTTTAATTTGATTTCAAAGAAGATTCGTTATTGGAAAATGTATGGAACCATAGACATACAAACAATCTTTCTATGAGATGTCTACAATAAATAAAATAAATAATTAACTAATATGTAGAAATTTTATAATTATCTCATAAACGCAACAGCCAAAAATAATTGAAGAAACTTTTCGAATTCGCTTTTTCTGATATAGTATTAAATAGTAACAATATCTTAATTAATGCAAACTTTAAATTTAGTTAAGCCTCACCCTTATCTAACAAATTAGAATTATATGTTTCTCTTTATTTGCACTAACTTTTAATTTGCTAACTTTTAGAATAAATCCATCGAAGAAGGCAAGCACTGCAAGGAAGAACTATTAAAGTAACTTTAGTCAAGTTGAAATAAATTTTCACTTTATCCCTCATCATGCATGTAAAACGATAGTTTTAATTTAAAATTCACATTATGAACTGCATAGTAATAATCATAAATGCAAATTTTGTTATTAATTATTTTTATAATATGAATAGCATTAAAATGCTAATACCTTACATAAGCACCAAAATCTAAATTTATCAAATTGTCGCTTAACGTAAATCGCTTGTTCGTCAGTTTTTTCTGTAATTATTTATAATTTTTGTGACATACAAATTTATCTTAAGCAAGAGTGCAAATTTCTGTACTATTTCTAAAAAAGGTCTAGAAAATCACCAATCAGGCCTTTACCAGAATTTTGCTAATATGCGATCTGTTTCCTTAAGATAAATTGATACCTTGTCACAAACTTTGGTATAATTGGAGTCATTATTTAATACCACAAATTTTTAATAAAAAAATGAAATTTATAAAATAGCACAAACATGCTAATTTTCCACATAGAAACCGCTTCGGTTCAAAATTTTACGCCATCGATTTTAAAATTTAGTTTAGATATGTGTTTTGTATTTTATGTATAATATAAATATGAGTACACGTATATTATAATATCAAAATTTATTTATATTATTTTATATAATATTTTCCTTAATTATAATTACGTTTACTATACATAATTATAATAATATGTCATATCAAATATAATTCGGTGTTAGTCATATTATAAGTCTTATATTTTTTGTCAGTTGAATTACGCTTTACCTAGTAAAAACTGAATACGATGATGAATATCATGGAAGAAATTCGATGTCAAAAAAGCTAATTTGCCTAGATTGAAAATTTGCTCAGGTTTTCTATATCATTTGATAATTGAATTTTTAGTTACAATTAGTTTAAATTTTCTATAATGAAACAGGTTTCGGGTAAATAAATTAGGTCGACGTTATTTATACCAGTTTCTTGAATTTTAATGTAAAAATAAAACTATTTGTCAAACATTATAAAAGGTTTTAAATTTAAGTAAAAGATGCCATTCGAACCAATCAATGTCATTGAAAACAATTTCTAAATGCCTCAAAAATTTTTGTTATGATGGAGTCAATTAAAAGAGTCTGCCCAGAATAGAGTAGAAAAGTTGTAAATATATGACATTAGTATTATATAAAAATAGCCATAGAAAATAGATTAAGTTTGAAAATGAGATCACCTAACACAACAGATGCTGAATAATTCAGATTCAGAATAATATCATTTATCCATTCTATTAGGTAATCTCTGGTTAGAGGTAAGAATGGTTCCGCAAAGTTGTACCCAAACAGGACAAAGCAACCATCACCAAAAAATATTTTAAAAATCGCTCACTTCAGCATCAGTCTCAGGATTCGCGCAGGTAAATGGATTCCTCAGCCAGCTACAAAAAGATTTATTATCACCTTGGTATTTACATTTCACTTTGGTATTTTTTGGAGTTTTATGGTAACTCATATTTGCATTGACCACACTACTAGAAGCCACACTGTCGTAACCGCTTTCCGCTCTTCTGGAAATCCCGGAATGTTTAGAAGCCCTTGGAGTAGACTCGTGACCACTGTCATACAGTTCTTGTTGCTGGACTGGTACTATGATGGCAGAAGAAGAACAAATGACATCTGGTGCATCTACGGAGACTAAACTCACAATTGGCAGTGATAAGTCTTCGTTTATATTAGGATCAGAAGCGCCATCTGGTTGTCTCAGATTACACAGTTCGTTTGCCATATTTAGATCAATCACAAGATCTGGTTTGGACTCTGATTTTCCGTACATTCTGTATGCAGGTTCGCTGTAAACACTGCCGTTGCCGTCAGCTCTTCTATATACTGGCTCACTATAAACACTGCTGGCACCATAATGTGGAGTAACCTCAGCCATTGCCAGTTGGGACTGGAAAAGTTCTCGTAACTTGGCTAGTTGATCAAAATGCCTTCGGGAATTTTCATCTATATCACACTCGCTGAATGTATCATAAATACCATTGAAACTAGACACAGCTGTGACATCACTAAAACTCAAAGCACTCAAAGGATGATCCTTTACCGACATACATCTTGCGATGTCATCTTCAGTCACTTGCAAACAAGAGTCTTGTGTGTTGCAAACATTCAAACTATCTGTAGATAAAGGCCTGATTAGTTCCAACGCAGGAGGAATTTCTGAAGGTCCTTCCTCACTACTATCTTCCTCATCAACTTGCTCATTGATAGCATCACTTGGTTTCATCTCGCGAAGACCAGTTTTCACAACACTTTCTTCAATTTTTGTTTTCTTTTCCGTAACTTCAATTTCTAACATCTCTTCGTGATTTGCAATAGGTAGACTAGTTGGAGTAGGTAAATATGATCTAGTAGGAGTACGTTTGCTTTGCAGTTGTGAAGTGGAATTTTCAACCCATTGTCGTATCATGGATTTTTTGTGGCTGTCCATAAAACCATAACCACCAGTCGAATGCGTTACTGGAAGTTTAATCGCTGGACCGTCTATCCAGGTTTCGTGTTGTTTGATCTGGTCGGAGTGTAATTTCATCATGCACCTGGGTAAAGGATATATTGAAAATAAAGGTTTGAAATATTTTGTACTACATATAGTTAAATACAAACCTAGCTTCAGCAACTTTTGATTTAGACACCCTCGGCCCATCGATCCACTGTTCTTCGCTACCTTTATGACTACTTCTTGCAGGACTACTTAAAATTTGATCTTTTTGGACATTCTTTTTGGCGGGTGAAGATTTTGCAGGTGACGAAGTCACTTTCTTATGTGTAGGCGGTAACCTGATTTAGTATAAATTAATAATTTAAATATAAAAAAGAAAAATATTTGAACTGGTGAGTAATTTCGATGATTTCTTGCCTAGATAACTTTATTTCTGCACCAGAACCCCGCAAAGCTTTTCCCATGGCGCATCTATTATCTCCGGAATTGATTCCAGGTAAATAGACAGGTGGATGTTCACCATCAGTAGCTTCATCAACAGGTCCTAAATAAATAACAGTATCTGCAGACAAGTCACTGCTTGATGGATCAGGTTCACTCTGCTGTTTGTGGTCGTCAGACGTTGTACAATTGACTTGTTTTAACACACGCCTCCTGAATAACAGATTGAACAAACATATTGTAGAAATTAATAATAAAATACTTATTTTTTACAAATGTAAATATCATATCACCTCCTCATCCTATGAACCCTTGAAGCAATCTGGACAGTGGTCAGAGCGTCACTGTGACACTGCGAATGTGCCACGTGAGCCAGAACCGTCACTCTGCAAGATAAGGGTTGTAGACAATCCCTTAGCAGAGGTGTCAGGGGATGGTCTCTGTGAGGTGGATGACGTTGGCCACTCAAAACAGCCAGAAGGACATTGCTCAGCCCTGATAAGGGCAGACGAGACCCGCGGCCTGCGCAGGATCCAAGGTCTATCAAGTGTAGGCGACTTCTACCACCAGCAACTGGGAAAAGGAATAAGAAAAAAATGGAAAGTTAATATAATGTTAATTTTAATTTCATTATATTACTTATTACTTAAAAAAACACAATAAGTAATACTGCACACTCGTAAATTTTTAATGCTTCTTTATTTTTGTAAACGTTTCCATTTCACCAAGAGATTCATTCACATCAATGCTTTCAATTTCATTTATCCATTTATACATTTAACGTAAAGCTGTAAATCCAGCCATTCGCATGAAAAGTGTCATTCTTAACCTTACAACCTTTTGAATGTAGTAAAGATTCGGTTTTGGAAATTCGGAAACCTAAAAATCAATGAATAAAACAACAAAAGCTATAAAACACAACTGACCACCTCTATTTTTGGTATAACTAAAAGTTCGCAGGGTGCATAATAAATAGATTTGGTCACAGGTAAAATAAATTTAGAACCAAAGAAATAGTATTAAATATACAATGTGAAAAAGTAACAGATAAAAAACAGATGTACAATTTGAAGATTTGATATTAATTTAGTTAATTGGGAAATTGCTACAAATAATAATTGTAAAAAGATGCAAAAGCAAATATTGCTTCAATAGTTTTCAATCATTTGAATTTTCTCAACGATTTTTATATATGTCTTGATATTTAGTTAAATATGTAATAAAAATGTAGATTTTTTTATCTGTTTGTCAAGATAATCTAATTTAAATTATTCTTTGAAGAAAATTTTAACAAAACATACCAGTCTTAAATTCTGTACTGATAACGTTTTGGTATAATTTAGGCAATATGATGTAATAATCTCAAAAATCATTATGGTTAATGAATAAGTTATGGAAGTCAAATTTCAAAGTCAAGTCTAAACAATTTTTTGCTCCAATAATAAAATAATTTCTAAGCCTTCATTTTTTAAAAAAATCTTTCATTCACGAATTCTATTAAGACAATTCATTAATTCTATTATACATTTCTAATTAACAATTATCAAACTGACCTCCTCCTTTTCCAGCAAGACTATACTGATACACGTGCAGGGTAAAAAGCAGAGCAGGATCTTGGCCCGAACTTTGCTGATTTTGCTGTTGATGTTGCGATCTGCTGGCCAAAGCTGCGTCCAAAAAAAGAGCAGCCCTTTCAGCAGTAGGAGCTCGAAGTTCCGTTGGACCTCCCAATAATTCTTCTCGTAAATATACACCTGGAGATTCATCTGATTCTGTAAAAAAATAACGTTTATTTATTAATTATATATATCATAATCATCTATAAGAGTATGTAAAATACATTTGTATTTATACATAAAGTATCATAATAATAATGCAAGCTAGCATGTCTTGACTCTGTTATTGATATTGACATTTGAATTTTTTCTATAATTTCGCCCTACAGGTAGTTTTTATAGTGCGACCCTGTCCACAGCGGGCTTTTTGATTTATTATGGATTTAGTATATATTAATTGAGTGGATTAGACAAGTGGCAGTGGCTATCATGATAAATTCCGTAATCCGACTTGAAGCCCGCGCTGCTCTCCTAATCCAAATGTATGGAGAATCGATACTGCTCTCAATGCGACTTGCTGATATAACTTCATATTAAAATGAAATATGTCAATTATCCCTGACGTATATCGTAGAGATATATTCAAAATACATAATACGTGCTGCCATGTTGAAGCGATCTATAATAAATGAGAAAGGGGCTATTGAATTCGTTGGATTAAGGTTACTTTGTTATTTAAAAATCACTGGATAGAGAGGCAGCTTGATTTGTAATTTTGAGCATCTATAATTTGCCTTTGAGATAATGTAATCAAAAGTTTACACATTGGCTCATTTGAAAGGATTTATAGTTGGATAGTTATTTTATGATGATGATGAATATTGGTAATTGGTAATTTTCTAAAAGCAAATTTTCACAAATCATAATTTTTATAATTGAACCAGTATTCGTAGAACTTTAATAGTTTAGTATGTTCATTAAGACCAGGTACTCTATCGTTATACTAAGTAAATGGTCTAATTTTAATTTTAACCAACGTCAGAAAACTACTCATTTTCTCAAACTTTGATGAATTTTAGAAATTAAAGTATTTTAATCGCAAGGCCGTAATATTTCAGTAAGTTATATAAGACCATGATATATATAGCCAAAAAAGTTCCATAAAAATCGGCTTAAATTTTTTTTCAACAGTTAATTTCAAGAAAGCGGCTCGTAGATTTTCACCTAAAACTAATCATTCCCAACTAATATCTTTCGAACAGTTTTTGATTTTTTTTAATCGATTCGGTAGTAAAGGCTTAAATGTGGACGAAAAATTTAACACTTTAATCCAAATTCCAAAGGAACGGCTCGGCCGATCGTCGCACGAAACTGAGAAACGATAATCCTCATTGAGATACATCATATGGCTTTTAAATTTATGAAATCGGTTCAAGCGTTTTTGAGAAAAAGTCAATCCAAGGTCTAATTTTGACAAATACCAAAAAAAACGATACTAATTTTTGCAAACGTTGACAATTTTTTAAAGCTAAACTAGTTGCCGTAGAACCGTAATATTTTAGTATGATCTATAAGACTATGGTATCTAGCGTAAAAAAATCATAAAAATCGTCGAAAAATATTTTTTTTACACTTTATTTTAAGAAAACGGCCAGGCCGATCTCTGCCAAAACTGATCAGCACGATTCCCAACCAATATCTTTCGAACGGTTTTTAAATTTTCAAAATCGATTCAGAATTGAACGAAAATGTTTTCACTTTTCTGCTATTTACAAAGAAACGGCTTGACTTGGCATTGAGATACATTGAATGGCTTTAAAATTTTTGAAATAGGTCCAGCCGTTTTTGAGAAATCGTCGAATCACGCCAAAAAATCTGTTCACATATATACACACACACATACTTTTTCCAAATTTGGTCTCATTCGATTCAAAATGGCTTGAAACGTCGAGAAAACATAAAATTAGCGCATCGGATTTTTTTATCAAAACATAAATTTCTCCTTCGGGAAGTTAATTAAAAGTTTATAAAAATAATTTTAATATGAATTAGGAGATTTTTAGATCAACGCATGATGTTAACTTAGAAGATTTTCATTACATACCCATAAAAACAAATATGTTTTCCAATTTAAACAACAAAACCACCAACTCAACGTCGCATATTCCACAATTCAAATCCACATCTAAATCTAATCTGTCAAGAGACAATTTAAATATCATCCTCAATTTAAAACGTGTCAATTACTCAGAAATCCACACCGTTTTCATCGGTTTCAGTTCACCCTTCGATTTACACCAGTTTAAGGATCTAACTTTTGACTCTCGCCTTTAAAAGAATATGCATACGCCATACACCTCGTACTGCTCACACACACCATCCTGCTCCACATCCTGCAGGAGTAACTTGCCAATCTCTCGAGGATTATCGCCATCTATTTGATATAACAGTACAGACGTTTTCTTGACTGGCAATCAGGCGGTAACAAGGGACGCTGTAAAAGTGACTGATGCATGCCAAATTGCCAGAGTCAGGGGCGATAAGCCACAGTCGAAGGGTAATGGAATGGGTAAATTATAGAGAAATATATTAAGGGGCACAACTAGTGTGAAATTTTCAAAAAATCGAATTTTCAATTTTTCAACATTTCGATAGGTTATACCTTTAAAAATAACATACCAAAATTTTAAATCGATATCTTAAATAGTTTTTGAGTTACAGCCATTTAAAGAGTATATATACGTATATTGTATATATAGTATAACGATCATTTAATCTTTAAACGCGTTTTTCTCGAAACAGCATTTTCCGAATTTGCTGCAGCGATTACTCAAAAACAAATGATCCGATCACTATCAATTTTTTTTACATGTTCTATATATAGTTCTCGGTAAAATAAACTATCGATATTTTGATCGGATAAAAAATTGAATTTTGGCAGTCCAAAAACGACCAAAATTTTCGATAAAATTCGACTTTTTTTAAAAAAACGCCATCATTTTGACAATTTTTGATTTTTTTTTCTTTATCGTAGTTCATTTTACAGACAATATTATCTAGTTTAACGAGATTTTTTTTTTTAATTTCATCCACGTAGAAGGTCGGAATCAGTGCAGCAGTGAAGGGCCTTTTTTGTCGCGCCGTTGGAGATCGACGATAACTTAAAAAAATATTTAATTTTCTTCTTCAAAAATTTTACTATGTATTCCTAAAATTTTGAAATGATTGATGAAGTAGTTTTTTTTAATATAAATTCCCAAAAATCAACTTTTTTAGGCGGTTACACTGGTTGTGCCCCTTAAGTAGAGAAATACCTTAAGTAGAGAAGAGGTTTGCATTAACATTTAAAATTAGTGGTGTATGGCATTGCAGATACCCGAAACGTATTTATCACGAAAAACGCTTCTCTGAAAAACCTGACCTGACCTGACGTCGTGCAGTAACGATGTCCATTTTCACTTGAAAAATAAGTTTTTAACTGAAATTGACTTGATTCGGGCACTGCGATGTGCAATGGCAATGATAAAGCCTTCACACTACTTCCTTAATCGAGTTCAAATTTAACTTAGCTCTTTATTGCTTATCCATTATTATGTATTGTTATTCGTAAGTTAAATCCAACAGTTTTTTTATCTTACATCCAGGGGCAGTGTTATGATTATTCTCATGTAACATTAAATTCCACTCATAAATTATACTTTCAACTTCAATTTTACAAATAATTAATCAATAAGCATCAATGTAGGAGGTACCATTTGTTTAAGAGTTGTACAGAGCCTGCCAGCCAAGTACGAAGCAATAACTTTGTATTATTTGTCTTATAAGTAAAAAATCGTCTCTTGCAGTTGATTTATTGCTGATAATTCCGAAGTAACATTTGTAACTGTTGTACAGCCCTTGTAAGTTTCGCATCTGAGGGCATGAAGTAACAAAAATTAGATGGAAGGCTAGGGTAAAATTTATTCATATTGTGGATTGGATGGATGATAATCATTTTGTTAAATAAAAATACTTTTTTACAAATATAGCCAGTAGTATGTTAAAATAATTTTTATTTCGACATATTGTGAGAATGATACGATATAAAAAGGAATAATTATTTATATCGGTTCTGATATAGTCTGTAAATTTTTATGAGATACATCTTACAAAAACAAAGTAATAAAACTGAATAAACAAAATATTTGAATAATATTCTAAATATAGTTTAAATAATCTTTTTATCGTAAAAAATAAACCGAAAATTTTGTAACTAAGTTCTATATTGATCAGGCGTATTATTCATCCTCCTCAAACTAATATAAAGAACATTTTATGACTTAACTAATGGAATAACTAAGCAAATTGCTGCATACTTCTCGAGGAATATTAAATGTTTTTAAATAGATTATTATAAATACTGTAACATCGTCCAATATTTATAAGAATTATATAAATAGATTATTATAAATACTGTAACATCGTCCAATATTTATAAGAATTATATAAACTAAATCACAAAGTTTAAATTATTTATTTAAAGTATATAAATGAGCTCTCGAACTTTAGCCAGAATTAAACATAAAATCTGAATTATTTTTGATATACAAGATTTTTTTTTCGGAAAAGCAATTGCTTTGTCAATACAGGCAGAAAGTTTTTCAAATAATTTAAATCGGATGCTTAGTTCTCTCAAAAACAGCCATTTTTGCATATTTAGCTCAGTATCCCAAAAACTAATCGCTACTTCTGCCCGTCATGAATATGTTTTGGATCATTCAAATCGGATGCTCCTTTTACTTAAAAACTCGATTTCTATTTTCTGCACTCTGCTTCATAACTCCAAAACGGCAGGACCTGCCTTTAACAAAAACTAATCAGCACATCTCTCTATCAATAGAAATTGAATGTTTTTTTAACCATTTAAATTGGAAAAATCGTATCCATACATACACACACATCCATTTTTACTGAGGTATGCCAAAATGTTCAGAAACCTCTGAAACGTGAAGAAATGCAAAAATTTTCAATTTCGATTTTTGGACGAATACAATAACTTGCTCTACGGAAAGTTAACAATACGACGGAAAAAAATTCTGTTTAAACCATTTTTTTGCTATTATTGATAAGTGACTTAGTTACAGCGGCCTATAATGTTTGCAGTCCTGTGTATTTAAATGTTATTACAGGTTGAAAAGCCTAACAAAGGTCATAAATTTTGATATTGCACTATAAAA